AAAATTAGAGCCCTATTAGCTATAAACACATACTTGTATGTGTGTATGTGTGTGTGTGTGTATATATATATATAATGTAAAAATTTGCGACTCAAAATATTATAGCAAGAAAGTTTCCGAAAAATTAAGTAAATAAGTTATTTGTAAATTTTTACTTAATTTTTTCGAAAACTTTTTCTTGCTACAGTAGGTATATTGAGTCGCGAATTTTGAGACACCCTATAAGTAAATTTTTACTTTGTGCAATAGTTTCTAAAATATAACTTTAAATATGACCAATTACAAACTATGTTTAGATAATCACCTGTGAATATTAAGTGCGCTAAAAAATGTGCTTACCACCGCTCACTAAGCTACCGCACGTGCAACTCATGAACAGATGGCCATCTAAAACATAATCTATAACGGGTTATATTTAAATCTTTATTATTTAAAAAAAAGTACTGCTTAAAATAAAAATAATTTAGAAATAATTTTTTTATTTAACCTTTTGAGAATTTTTTTGCTATGAGATTTTAAATCACGAATTTTGAAACATCCTGTATATACAAATATATTATAGATACATTGTTACTAGCACATATAATGCAGAATATTTCTACTGATTCGCGACGCATTAACACGATCGCGCGAATACATTCACTTCAAATGCGCAACAACCGGTTTGCGAGCTGATACCAGAAGAAGAGTAAAAGCGTCGATCGGCTTACAAGATTGCGTGAGCACCGTTGCGTGCAACACGGCTATTCTTACAGATCGATTTTCCATTTTTCATCTTGAACTATTGTCGTACAGGCACGGCGAGATTCTCGGATAACTGATATGATTTCTTTGGTTGACGTAACGATAAATTAGATAGTCTAGTCTTCGCAATTCAAAAGATATTCAGAGAGAGATTCAATATAGCTTTTCCTATTTTACTTTTATACTTTAATGTAAGATTTATTTAATTGGAATTTCATATCTTATTGTCAGTCGAAGGAAAGTACATTATATATTGCCGACGTAATAATGAAAGTTGGAAAATAACGAGAGATAGTAAAAGTGTAACGGTTGGGTGATATATCGTGAAGTAATTAGTATAAAAAAAAGGAAGTGAGGAGAATAATTAATTAAAGTATTCCAAGTTATGTAATATAATATACGCGAGAGAGAGAGAGAGAAATAGATTTTTAAAAATAGGAAAAAGTCATACCTCCAATGTTACCTCCTAAATTAATACAAACAATTTTCTATCTAGGCTCTTAAGCATAAACATGTTTGTAGATTGACGATTCTCGCTTATAAATACGTCATTCCTAAAAGTGTTTGTAAATACGCAATTCTAATAAAAGTCTTCGTAAACAAATAATTCCCATCACTACAAATATATAGTCTTTGTGTAAAAATAAAAGCATATTACAACAATAAAGGAAAATGCGCATATAACTGATAAAACGCAATTATATTTAACTTCGAACATACAGCGATAACGACAGGTAGATCATCATTTGTGTAATTCGTATGGAGAGATAAATTTGGAGAAAAACCAATAAAAATGTTAAAAGCGAAAGATACACTAATGACTAATACATATGTACGCATTTCAATGGTAGCGAGTCTTTTCACCGATACAAAGATTGCGAGAGCGAGTGACTCATGGAAGAAAAACCTTACACGATCCTCGATTCCACTTGTTATCATTACTCATACCCCACAATACAGTCAGTCTTCGTCGCTATTTTCGTCTTCCCCGTAACATAATAAAGTTCCCGCGCGTCCAGCTTTATCGACAATTCATTGGATTCGAGTCGATCTCTCAACCTCGCGCTGCTTTATGCGAGTCATTCGCGAAGATGTTACGTATTTTCTCAAGAACCTGTTTAATTCCGATAACAGCGTCTATTTGTTCTCGACTCAGAGATAAAAGCGCAAACAGGAGAGACATCGCGACTACCGTAATGATTATTGTGTTTCTATCACGTTTCTATGAAAGTCGATCCGAAAACATGTCCTTATTGCAAAAGCAAATGCAAACGCTATCACAGTGTAATAACATTCGTACATATCTTCCACATAATCAAATAAAATATTGTGTCATGCATCATTAAGTCTCTTTTTATACAAACTGATAAAAAAGTTAAACGAATGGACGTAATAATAAATGTTCTTCGCACGACAAAAACTAATTTATAAACGTGAGCGTCTAAAAACGTGTCAACAACTTTATTCTTTTACACATAGAAAGGCAAATGAAGTCAAAAGAAAAGATTTATGAGAATATCAGATTTATCAGATTATGGAAAAATTATGTTAAATAATACAAAATACATAATAAAACATTATACATTTGGAGAATCTCTGCACGCATATTTAAAAACAAGAATCGTGTAATCTCTCTCTCTCTCTCACGCAGTTAAACACAAAGACGTCCTTCAACCTGTCTAATTATGACTGCAGATCTTGTCAAGATCACAAAATTATTATCGTAGGAATTTTTGCTGAAAAAAATTTACTTCAATCCCGACAAGAAATTAAAAAGATCATTGCAAAAACGTTTTTTTCAACGTGAGAATATTAATCTAAATTCAACTTTAAAACTGAATTTATCAAGTCAAGGAAATTGATCAAACATTTTGAAACAAGTTCTTCAAAAATCGCCTCTCTGATCTATTCGTTTTTTTTTCTTTCGTAAATATCCGGGCATTTTGTTAGCGGATATTCCTCACGATCTCGCGGAAATATCATGGATTTTATCGCGCGAGATATCAGAATTTTTTGATATCTCTCGAATAATCAAGAGCGCGAGAAAGAGTATTTCAATAACTATCTATTGCGACGGAGATGCGCAAATGTCATTGGAACTCCCGCTGCACTTGGCGCATGAATAGTTGACGTCGTATTTGCATGTAAATTGTCTTACAATTAGTTGCGACTCGCTCGTACAATTTTTAACCATCTAACAATACAAAGATATTGTATCATGCGATATTTTTTTATCTGACTTTTTTATCTATGTGTACACGAATATTTGTTTTCATTTTTTACGTGGATTACAAAAATCGATTTAAACGTCATTACATGAGTTATTAATTTATTTCAGAATTAATTCAACTCTTTTTAAAGGAAATTTTTAAAGAAAATTTTTTTGTGTGACATGTGATAAATATATATAATTTCAGAAATCTAATTTAATTTAAATAAATGTGAACATTAAAAATGATAATTCAAGATAAAATAAAATTTAAATTAAAAGTAAAAGCTCCTACAGTTAAACAAATAAATATGATGATACAAAGGATAAACCAATGTGAGCCCCAACACAAGTTTTTCGTGTGTAATAATATAATATATATTATAATTGAATTAAATACAGACGAACGTTTCAACCCTGGTATTGGGTCCTCTTCAGTGTAAACGAAAATTCTTATCCTTTGTATCATCATATTTATCAAGATAAAATATTAAATTTCGAAAAATTAAATATTGCACAAAAATCAGATAAATAAATTGTGCACATATAAGATCCTTTGATTCAAATACTGCGTGCTTTGTCGAACAGATCCCTACTTAGAATTGTATTGCGCAATATCGAAGATCATCGTTCCGACCGAGGGAGCCGTACAAGAACCATGCCAAGAAGCACGACGTGCTGCAACGCGATTTTGTTAGGCTCTAAGAAACTGGGGCACGACGAAAGGAAGAATGAGATTGCAGTGGCGTTAAGACTTTGTGCAGATCGGTACACGTGGTAATCCACGGTAGCTCACGGCTACAAGGGGCACGGCGCTAATGGAGTCAGTGATCCGCAGACCTTGTACAGGAGAAACGGTCCGTTCGATAAAACCAGTTGCGCATCGCTATAAGCGAATACAGATATCGCGCGCATATAGAGGTGTATGAGTTCAATCAATATTATTCCCACCCCATCTTTTATATCTAACGCTATATAGCTTCGTTGGAAATATTTTCGTGTTCGTATTTTTTGAAACGAAAGAATTTTAAATTCTTCCTCCGCGTTTGTGGAATTATTGTGGAATTATTAACTATATTTCTCACTCAGACTATATCGCTTTGTAATTTTCTTATCTAATTTTAGTACTTCATATCTTTTTAAAAATAATACATGTCATTTTTTTTCCAGTTCGATAAAGAAAACAAAGTTGGACGTTATACTTGAAATGAGGACGAAGTTTCACAACTGTCGCATGAGGTTGGCGAAGTCCTTGGAAATTATAATCGGGTTTGCGAAACAATATCTCGATGTCATCAACTTACATTACCAAACAGTTTTTTAACATGATATTTCAAGAGGGCGAAACGAACTCCGTCCTTCTTTTTTAGAGAAATTTGAAAGTAAAAATTTCGCTTGTATCAAAAAGATATTTTAAAAGGAAGAAACGGATTCCGACCTACTTTTTCGGAAAACTTTGAAAAGTGAAATTTCACTTGTATCTAAAAAATATTGCAGAAGAAGGGAATAAAAATATGATCGCAGACGAAAGGTTATTAAATAGTTGAAACAACAATGAGTGAAAGAAAGAAATTATGCAAATTACTCATTAATATCACTCGTAAAGATAGGATTTTAAATTAAATGTATAGTAAAGAAAAATGTGTAATAAGTCGCGTACCGAGATATAATATCTTGCTTCAAGCATAGCTATAACTCCAAACTTTGCCAACTTTATGCGACAGTTAAAACTTTGTCCTCGTTTCAACTATAACGTTGTTCACTATATTGAATTCGAGTAACGTGAGTCAAAAGTAAAATGATGATATATACTACAGTGAAGGCAATATTGATGGCAGACATTTTCCGAGAAAAAATCCGATTGCGATTGCAATATATTTCTAGGACGATTCCGATAATTATCGTGTATATTCGCAACCGAGCATATCGCGCGATATATTAGGGACAAACGTAATTACGCACACATAGATAAACGCCATACATCGTGCTTTTCTATAGTCAAGCCAAATCGTAAAGAATACGTAGTAAAGAATCGATTGAAACTGACCTTGTTGCAGCCGTAATTTATATAGACTCCTTTGAGTTCATCTTCGGTTGAGAGTTCTGTGTTCGGGCTGTTCGGAGGGCTCTTCGGGCTGCAAATTCAAGCAAAAAGACATGTTATGATCCATAAACGTTGCAGATAATGTAAGTGGTGACCAATAGAGATCGTTGTTGTTTACACTTATTTATTTAACCAACATTACTCAACACTTATCGCTATGACTCACTTGATTTAAAACTGCGACGATTCTCCACGTGCTGTTTTTACAGATGATCAGAATGTTAAAGTATCAAATTATATTTTATAAAATGTGTTTTTGGTCACTTTTTTTTAATAAAATATTTTAATTGTTTGCATTATTGAAATAAGAGAATTTTGAATTCTTCCTTTGTGAAATTGTTTCGCGTTCAATCTACATTGTTTTATAATTCTCATTTGATTTTGATATTTCGTGTATCTTAAAAAAATTTTCGTTTTATATATGTATATATATATGTACCAGTTTAATAAAACAAACAGAAATGGAGTCGATATATTAAATAAATATATCAAATTAAAAATCAAATATTCTATATTGACTTTGGTATTAATCTGAACCACAGAGACTAATTTTGAAATTTATGTATGTCAAAAATCAGATAAAGAAATATATTATTTTTATTATATTATTCGTAGAACGCAAAATGAATATTCTATTTTGTCCGTTTTTCTTTCGATTGATTTGTGCAAGAATTGCTGAGAAGTGTCGCCAAGTTGCTTATCGCCGGATTCGTTCCGGTCAAGCGATAAAATGACGCGCGAAAAGTCGCCGCGATAATATATCGCCTTGGAAGTTTGCGACCTCCCGTGTATTATGCGTAATCCATCAGTACATCGTAAACTGCAATCGAACCGACATTCGCAGTTGCAATGCGGTTGACAGCTGTGGTTATCCTTGCGTTTGGCATCGATATCACGACGAAAAGCAGCGCAATCGCTATCGAGCTCGTAATCACCGATGCATCTCGGTGAAGAGCTGCAAGTCGCGATAAGCACATTTATATCAAGTGCATCATATACCTGTATTACGCGTTATCGACTCTCCTACTTTGATTTTTCTTTTTTCCAGATAAAGCACACTATGTTTACTTTAACTTCACAATCGTTTAAATATATAGAGAAATATATATATAGAGAGAATATCTTAGTCTCTCCCACATTTTAATGAGATATCATACGTAATCTGATGTAGTTTATTATCATATATCTAATTACTGATTAAGTTAATTTTTATTAATACGAATGTCCTGGCGGAATTAAATTTCTAAGAAACGTTTGTTTCTGTCTAGATTACGTATATACAGGGTGTTTCCAAATTAAATGGCAAAACTTCGGGAGCGTGTAGAGGAGTAAAAAACTAAGAAAAAAAGTCCTATAGACATATGCTCGTTTTTGCTCCGTTTCAGAGAAATCGAAAAAAAATGTTTACATTTCTTGCCATATCTAGCACCGACATATTTGATTACATTTTCCACTTTCTGTTATGAATTTGTCAGTCGCTCTTTGAAAGCCTTTAACAGTAGATGAATTTTGTCTTTTGCAATATGCCGCGTACGTATTCTAATAGTGAATATGCTGATATGGTTTTTGTATACGGTTTCTGCAACGGTAATGCTTTAAAGGCGGTGCGAGAATATGCACGACGATTTCCAAACAGAAGAGTGCCAAACCGAAGAGTGTTTATGTTGACATTTAATAGATTGCGAGAGACTGGAACATTTTCAATTCGACAAGAAAACAACCGATTTCAAGCAGCGTTACGAAGAGATTTGCAGGCAGGGAATCGTATTTTACAACATTTTGACAATCATCCTGAGACCAGCGTTCGGAATGCGTCGGCTGTATTGGGAGTGTCACCACAAACAATTTGGCGAACTGTAAAAGGAGATAATCGCTATCCCTACCACATTCAAAAAGTGAGCATATGTCTATAGGACTTTTTTTCTTAGTTTTTTACTCCTCTACACGCTCCCGAAGTTTTGCCATTTAATTTGGAAACACCCTGTATATATATTTATATAAAAATTAATTTTTTATAATTTTTTATTCTTTTAAAAAATAAAAATTTATTAATTCAATAATCGTGCATAATGATGATAAAATTTTTCATTAGAAACGATATTTAATAAATGTATATTTATTTCCCTCTGTGTTAAAACGTTTAACAACTACCGTACTCATGTCGTTTGTCAAACCGGTTAAATAGTCTATGTTAATTTTCTTCTTCAAAATTTTTTCGCAAAGACGACGGGTGATAACGCCGAGTGTACAGACGAAGCAGTAAATAATGTCCATTTCTATTAATATAGATTAACATTAATCTTAGTTTAATTTACTTTTTATCTGTTTCTATATAGTTTTAAACATTAGAAAAGAATAAAAAATAAATTAAACTGAGAGTAAAATTAATCTACATTAATAAAATTGAGCATAAAGGGGGTTAACAATTCAATGTGATGTGCACGACATTATATACCGCAAAATGGTCGTCTCGTGATTAAAGTGGATATTCGTTGTTGTGTAGGTATTAATAACAGGATCGTGACTTTCATGCTCGAGATAACATCACTTATTGTTAGAGAAACATATACACGAATGACCACAGATCAATGCTTTTTGTTATGACGCGCCTGAGTACCATGTATAATATTTCTCGCAGATCATTAAAAATTTTTTTACGTCAGAGAATCAGCGACTGATATTTTTAATAGATCAATATATGCACAAAGAATATCGAACTACGTTCCTTTGTCAGCAAGTCATACAAACGCGCATTAGTTATTCTCTTGCCAAGATATTTACGCGGGTCTCTCAATGACGCTATTTTAATCCTGTTAAGAGCCACGTGTTAATTCAGTCGTCTAAACAGCGAAAGTAAAAATATAAATGTTTTTTACTTGTAGCTATAACTCTTTGTTCTTTACGAGCGATATGCGACATTGCTACGATTATCGCGACACGATCGCAACTGAAAATCAATTTAACGCACTGTTTAAAGTCAATTTAAAAGTACAGGTAACAATGTAGTAATTATAATAATTATATATCGATTAAATTCTGCTCGAGTTTATGAAAAGTTTGCTCTAAAAGAAAAGTATGAATTTTTGCAGCCTTTCAGTCAGCCGCGCAAAATTCAAAAAATAAGAAATTGTTCTTTCAGTTATAATTTTGAATTTTTACTCTAAAGTTATTTCTATGTACATAATCCGCAATTCGCCAAGCGAATTTGTAATGTACTCAGTAAGGTCACTCGCCTTTTACTGTTTTTATCTACGCGACCTTGAGCCACACCCCGACGCTTGATGATGAAGCGACTAAAAAAAATAGTTCTTCACGTACAGATCGTCATTCCTCGCCTCTGACTCACGATGCTGCTTTTCTTACTCCGAAGTCCTTTCCAAGAAGGAAAGGGAACGGAAGCGGACGTTTTCTCTCGTACTTGTACAGGATATGCGAGAGGGGAAACACCGTCTTTTGCGCACCGAGAACTTGAGTGAATATAGGTGTAAGTTGAACGGCCGGCTTTGTTGGCCGAGTCTTCAAACTATCTCGAGATTATAAGAATTGGCTATACTGTTTCAAAGCGCCTTTCGAATCCCCGCGTGCTTGGCTCTGTCGCGCGTGTAATGAAGGTACCTTTCATACTAACATTCGACGTTCATTTTTAACGTCAAAATAGGTCAAAAGTGACGTTTGATATTCATCAATTTTTATTGTATGATCAATTTTATTGTGTAATCTATTTCGACACTAAAAATGAATCGAGTATCATCAGCATGAAAAGGTACTTTAAAGGCCACGGTACACAAAAATTGAAGCACAATTCAAGCAAGTAGATCATAGTAGATATCGTAAGGGCATAACGTAAACAGTAGCAAATCCATTGATTTTTTTACTGCTTAAATCTTACTGTTTAATTTTTTGTGTACCATGATTCAATAAACTCTGCAGAAAGTTAACTTTGGTTAGAACCGTCCAAGTCCAATCGTCGCAATTTCCGAAAACCATAATTTGATTTCTGGCAAATCGACGATCAAGAAGATTTTCCCAAAAAATCACTTCTCGAAAAGCGGTATTTTACTCTGAAATATCGCTTACTTTCTAGTTCTTAAAGTATAGAAAAGTTATGTGTCCCACGCGATCTTCGCCGAGGCGTCGCAAACTTACTTGGAAGATAAAAGATCTGGAAAATAAAAAAGTTTTATACCTGTCTCTCGGAGTGTCCCGGCGCGAGGACGCCAGGGAATGCTTCGCGGACGAATGTGTGGAATCCCTCTGTGCTTCCCTGAGAAGTCGCAGGTATTCACGTTCGCCGGTAATGCTAAATGGCGTCGGCGTTATCCGGGACGCCAACGGCGGGTCCGGCACCAGCTCCACCCAGGACTCTGCACAGTTAGAAAAAAAATTGTTATTCTGTGCTGAATGTTTTTTTCACGAGCTTTTACAATAGTTCCGGCAATTCGCGCAGCAGCCACTTTTCAGTGTCCCTCGATAATAATACAATGTTTCCGCAAACGAGGAAAATTTTATCTCTTAGAAACGATCGAGAGAGAATGAATAACAACTGCCAACAGTAATTTTCTGAATAAATTACTCAATTATATTTTACTCGCATTGTCATGAGCAAATTTTTTCTAGAAATAATAAAATGTATTATTACAGTAATAAGTTCTAAAAAGAAGGACCTCGTTCTTTCCATATTGAAAAGACCTTTGATGAAATTGAAATTTATATATATGCCATCATGCATCGTAATTTTTCAATTTCCTTCCAGAAATAATACAAGTTATTATTACAGTAAATATATTAACAGAAGCAGCTACCCCATTTCTGTATTAAAACAACCCTTGATGAAATTGAAATCCATATTTCTTTAGCGAAAATTTAATGAGACGACATCTCATGTATGCCATAATTTTTCAATTTTAATTATTAATGTACTAATTGAAATATCTAAATATTAAATGTTGTTTCTAATATCTTTAAAGTGCTTTTAAATTTTAACACGCTGATGTTAATATACTCGGTGCATATTGTACGGAGAATGAATGTCATTGAACGACATACGCGATGACACACTGTAATATCTTTAAAAATAGCAACAACGGCCAGCATATCGATCACGATAACCCCACGAGGTCAAGTTGAAGGGAAATTTCATATTCTTTTCTTGTAATTAATAATATAACGTCGATTTTTATAGTATCAATTTTCATCGTATATGTATAGCACTAATTTTTGCAAATAAAATTATCAAAAACAGAAGAAATTTCATATTTCGAAATGGATAAAAAAAAATATTAAAATTACAATTTCGAAAATAATTACATCTAAGAAATCATTGCATTTAAAGAGAAAATTATTTTTTTAATAAATATACCGTTAATACCATATTCTTTATGTATCATACTTCATGATTATTTTTATATACATAGTTTTTTTAACATTCATAACGTGATTCACGCTTTTATACACGTGTACAAAGACTTAATAGATAAAAATGTGATTGAACGAGTATTTGCATTAACGGTTTTTCAAGAACAGACTCACTTCTTCGACATAAATAAACACGATATACAAATAAGATCTCCGACGCATTTATTTTAAAATGACAGTTTTGGCGGAACAATTTCATTCTTTACATTGTATGCTAATAAAATACTCAGCATGCATTACGAAATAAATAGTTATAAATAACGCGCAACGATTTACTAAGGTAATCTTACTACAAGATCAATATTAACCTTTATATCGTATATTTAACAAAATTGAAATCTATAAGTTTGTTAATTAGTTAAGTAGTTTGCCAAATGTAGATCGAATGAATCATAGATTTAGAACGTAAGAGTAATTATCTTAACAATAATGATATAATGATAAATGATACAAAATTATGCATCCATTAATAATACAAATCTTTTACTAACTTAGAAATAACAAAGAATTATACTTCGCAATTTGCAAATTATCACATAAATATGTGATTCTTAACTTCTGTGTAATAAGCTCATTAGAATACTAACAATAAATAGCATGAATAATAAATAGCATCGATACTGTCTACAGCTGTATAACCGAATAATGGAAGTGCCAATTATTTAATAATATTAAGCTACTTAAACAAAATATATAGGAATCTTCAGAGAAACTTTCTTTTGCGTGCGTGCGTGCGTGCACTGAGAAAAAAAATTTGTTCAACTAACTAAACACATTTAATTGTTTGCAGATTTGGTTAATTCAACAAATTTTATTTAATCGAATTTAATCTTAGTCTGCTTAACAAGCTGTTCAATGTTAAACAGACTACAGTTAAATTCGATTAAATAAAGTTCACGTATGTAAAATGGTATGGTAAATATCTGCACTTGCAAGCTCCAACAATAATCACATAACGAGAATGATCTCATCACCATGAAATCTCGGGTTCATCTACCGTCGTTATGACGATAAATTTGCTAACAGCTTAACGGATGTGAATTTATATTCCTCGCTCCAACGCGCTTTATTTCTTGCATAATTACGGAACGACTGCGCTATCGATGCGCATATATTTTTATCTTACTTAATTTTCAACTTGCAAGTCTTCGTCGTTGCTTACATTAGTTAAATATGAACGTGTTTCGATTGTCCTGTGATGATGAAAATGATATAATTTGGAAAAAGGGCATAAATGATTTAAAATCATTAATGAGATTTTTACCAAAGACTAAACGAAAATGTGTTTTCGTTACAACATATTTATGTTAAAAAATCTTACAAAAACTCATCAGATGATGATTGAACATTATTTCAATTTATTTTGTACAAGTAAAAGTAAAATTTATTTCATATTTATTTTATATTTCTTCTAGAAGAATGTGAAAATAAAAAAATTTCTGCAGTTCTCTCTCTCTCATAGTCTTTTCTTTCTGTCGATTCTTACAATATTATAATCAATATTCGGAAAAAAGGACTAAGTGCATTTTTTAAATTACAAATAACTTTTTAAATATAGATCATAATAGAGAAATATTATAACATATTAACTTTTCAAGGACATTATATAAATATACATTTAATACTTTTCATTTGTGGTCTAATAAAAAAGTAACGAGTTATTTTAATTTTTATCAAACTTAAGATTTTGTAATTAGGCCTTTATTTCCCATCACCTCAATTAACGATCAAATATCCTATCTATCATAATCACGTTTCTTATCGACTGCGTAAGCAAATTTATTATGTATCACGAGAATTGACAGGACGAAGGAAGGATAAAAACAGGTCGATTGGGACAATCGGTTTGTCAGTCACGATAAATCGTCATGATGTTCACGCGGGTCGTTACGCATCACGTGTGATGCACGTGCGACATTAGCATGGCGCGATGACCGCCACAGCTCTTCCGCTCTTCTAACCGTTCAAATCATCCGGGCGATAAGGTTTACTTCAAGTTCGTTCACCTATTCGTAAATCGTCATTAGTCACTTTCGTACTTTCGTCTAATTAGATACATCGACATCGCAGCATGAACATAGTTTTAAAAAACCCTCGAAACTCGCATTCTAGGCTGCGTTCAGAAATTACGCCTAGATAATTCTAGGGTGTATTTTTGCTATAATATACGTAACGTAACCTATAGCTTAGTTATCTGGGTGTAATTTCTGAACGCACCCCTGCGGAAAAAAAAATTCGCTCTCTCACACGATTGTTCCAAATGATTGCAGATAAAAATTAACTACAATAACATCCATTATATATTGTTTTTCTGTATGAGAGATTAATGTTCTCGTTCTGCAGCGATATAAATACGTGAAAGACCAAACAATAAATTCATTGTCACGCACGAACTTCCGAAAATTCACAACACACTGGGTTTATCACGCGATTCTTGCCTTAGGAATGAATAATCGACTATGTAGGCACGCACGTGATTATTAATGCTCTTGCAACGATATGAATTGTAAAAATTAATAGTTACTGTACACGCAGCGTTCTATGGCTGGTATTCATAGTCGGTTCTTACTTATTTAAGACCGTTTTAAATATAGCCTTAAGATATCATAAGTCAATCACAGAATCATATTAACATCTTGAGACATTACTTAAGATGATTTTAAAATAAGAACCAATTATGAATATCGATCTATAATTCGTTCTATTCGTTGAGTATTAACGCATTAAGATTGTAAATTAAATTTATGAGATTTTTTTTTTTTAAGGAGAACGCAGAAACATTGCGACGATATTTCGCCTGTTTATCAGAATGAAATAATTATCTGTCATTTTATAATCGCACCGATTATGAATATTTTCAAATACAATAAAGAAAGAAAAATTAGGCCAGTGGAAATCGAAGAAATTGTAGATGGCGCGCTAATATTTTAATAAAAGATCCTTTTGTTGATATTAAACTATTCAACATATTTATTATAAAAAAATTTGACAATTGGTCATTTAAATGTACGTTTCGGTTAATTTTTTTAACCATTATCAGCAAAGAAAATAGCATAATCGCGGTACATACTTTAGATATGTACGAATATTTTTTTCGTCGAAATATTTTCAGAAACAAAACACAATTTTCCCAACAAAGAATTTCCGCAGATATTGTTCCGCTCGAATATGCAAGAATATTTATATTGTAAACAATGCAGCAGGTAGGTTTCGTAGGAAGGTCGAATGCGACACATCAATTTGCATTGTTAGTCGCTTCGGAAAGATGCGCGCGATAACGCCATAAATGTATAATACAATGTATAATAGATCGCAGCGAGGTCGTCGGAAAATGGAAAAGTTGACGTAGTAAACGCTTGACACCGTTCGAAACGTGCGAGACATGCATCACTTGACGTAAATTCTTTAGACATACTTCATTGCTCGATGTTTACCGTGCAAGATATAACGGAATATAAAATTATGTTACGCGTTACTAACATTTTGTTCCGTTTAATTTCCCAGATGCGCCGATGAATTGCGACAAAAAATCGAACGTGAAGAATTTCTGATTACGCGATCAGATACGCAGACAAGGATCAATCCTGAAAAAATTATTAAGGTTTTTCATTTTTGGTTAACTTGTCGTTGAACTCAACCTGATAATAATTGTATTTTTCTGGCCATGATTAATAAATTGATGATTTTGTAGCAACTTTGAAGTTATCATTACAAATCAGTTCAAGTTTTAGTGATTAATCATAGCTAAAAAATACAAATTATTAATATTAATGTTAAGAAGCTGGTTTTTTTCGCAAAATTATTTTTGTTTCGTTATTATTGTGTAGTTGATTTAAATTACAAATGTTTCGACCTCTATAATTGGGTCATCTTCAAAAAGAAACAATGTACGCATGTACAATCATTAAAATTTTTAATGATTTCTTCGACACTGAAGATGATTCAATTA